GGGGGGTTGAGCTTATCAACAGATGGGTAAGGGCCTATATCAATGAAGCAGGCATGAAGAGAGAGATTTTCAAAATCTGTGAACAGTGTTTTCTTTCTGCAGTATAGATTTTCTTGCTGATGAGCGAGTAATAGAGTTTAATTTCAAGAAAGCAGAAAGAAATATGATAAAAGAATTGCTATTTAACTAAATTTGGAGTGCATGATCTCAAAGCAGTTCATGATGGGAAATGAAATTTCTGATGTGAAACTGGAAGAGGCATGAGGATGTCTCTCTCTCTCTCTCTCTCTCTCTCTCTCTGTGACTTGAAAGCATATTGGAGAATTGGGTAAATCCCAATGATTTGGGTTTTGATATTGACTGGTATAGATTAAAGCAGAAAATAAAATAGAGTAATGAAAGAAATAGAAGAATATATCAACCTTGGGAGAGACTTTCCCTCCTGTATACCTCTCTTTGTCCTTTTTTCGAACTAGTGGAGGGCCATGTAACTGAACTTTTTTTTTGTGTAGTTGACTAAAGTAACCTTTGAATGTTAAGCTAGAGACTATGTATCAACATTAGAATGGAAGATAAGATATAATAGTAAAGGGAAAGGAAGTTAATTTAGAGGTCCAAAGGAGGTGCCAGACCCATTTCTTGCAAATATCTGATTGTTCTCTAATTGCCATGCAGTAGTCTAAGGTTGTGTGTGTGTGTGTGTTTTTTTTTTTTATGGGAAAGGGGAGGAGGAGAGAGACTTGAACTTTTGACCTCGTAAAGTTGTATGGTTGATTTGTATATTTTTTTCTCAAATATCTTCGATGATAGATTACTAAATTGTCCTCTATGAGTTCAAGTGAAACCTACTATACAAAATTAGATAAAATATACAACGATGATTTATTATTGAGAAAAATTGAAATTGTGTTTTGGAGGAACCGAAACAAGTAGATATCACTATTTAGAGGGATGTATAACTATAATAACTTGTTTCTTGATTCAATCAATGATGAAGGTGAGATTACTACTTAAATGAGCACGTGTCAAGATTCAAATCGTATCATTGGTGGAATGGAAGTAAGATGGAGGTCTAATTCTCATCGTTACAAATAAAAGAGAAAAAAATTGTACCATTTTATAATTGTTAGTTCAAAAAATGTTCCATAGTTACTAATTGGAGAACATTTCATATGATTTCATCCAAAAGAGAACACAATTGCCTCGTTTGCCGTTGACATTTTTTTGTACGAAATAGAGATTGAAAAGTGAAATAAAAAAGTTAGAGTTAAAAAAATTCTTAGAACTGTTTGGAGTGCTTATGAAAAAATCAACTTTTCTTTGGAAACATTTGAATCAGCCTCACTTTTCAGTTTTTTCTTGGTGTTGAAAAAAACTGTTTTTACCCAAAAAATCGATGAAAAAAGTCGCCCAATAAGTCCGGGTCCAAACAAACCAACCTTTTTCCTTTGAAACCAAAAAATATTAATGCTGTTAGCCCACTCCAAACAAACCTATTATCTCAATTATGTAACCCACAAGTTTATTCACTCTGAATCTCTCTACAACATCAAATATATGCAAGAGTACAAATACTTGTACATCAACAACTCAAAAAATTCCCTACATAGAATGCCAATTAGTTAGTGAGATCATCGACACATCCAAAGCTCCAAAAGACAACAAAATCCATTCTCATCGAAAAATTTAATCACCATTCATTCACCGTTACTTTAACAATCCTTCCCCGTGACACACCACAATGAACCTTAAGTCGTAGTACTCTAATACCATTTTCTACGAGAATGAGAAATATATAATTTTAAAATCAATCTTAATCCAAAAACTGAAACCAATAAATCTCAATTGCATTCATGTATACAAATTTTTTCAACTCGTAACCTACATTTGACGTGGAAAAATGATTACGATCCCTAAATTCTCTTTTTCTTGCCCATTTTTCTACTATGTGAAGAGGATAAACCTTGTTTATAACTGTCTTTGGGGTTTGATAATGTTGAGAGATTTTATAAGTCAATCCATGAAACTAAGCTATTTGTTATCAGAGAAATGAAGTCGTAACGGTGGGTGTAAATGTGGGGCCNGGGGGTAACGGGAAGCTGTGTTTTTTCACTATTGGTTAGGAAAGCTAAGATTACCTCCAATTAAAACACCAACCCTTGTTGTTCCTCCACATCGGCCGGAAAAGAACTTTGCAGGCTTGCATTCTGTAGAGTCTGTTCACATAAGAAAATCAAAACAAAATAATAAATATAGGGCTACTTTATTTGTTTGCCATATCTTCGCTAGGTGTTTATGGAATTATTATAGCAGGTCGGTCTAGTAATTAGGGGGCGGCCATTCGGTCGCCTATGATACTAGGACCAATAGGTAAAAAATGGGTTTGTGCCACAGGTGTTGAACGATCTACTCTACACAGGTGTGGGCT